ACTGCTAATTGAAATTCAAAAACAACATTTAATCCAAGTCAAAGAGAGTGAAACAATACACATCCATAGCATAATGTACTCATGGCATGAAATCTTAATTATCAGAATTCTATTTTTAAAATTTGAGTGGCAATTGATGCATTGCCTGTGTCTTTTTCTTCCTCAAAATTGGAGACCATGGTAATCTTAAATTCCCTCTTTACTGAAAATTTAATTTGATCACAAAATTCTTGTTTTTACAAGCCATGTAAACAACTGTCTTCTGAATTAACTGCTGTGAACCAATGGTTATATAATTGATTTCTTAACCAAAATGGCATGGGTTCAATTCTTATTATAGGATGAGCTACTGTTGTGTATCCTTGGGCATTACTTCACTTGCCTTCGAATGCTGTAACAATTGCTGAAACATCCAAAATCACTTTATTGAGCAGTTTCCTGTGCACAAAGTTGCTCATCTAAATTTTTCAAGACTATTTTTGTGGATGACAGAATCTTCATTTGAAAACTTTGTTTTGTGGGTCTTATTTTATGATGTGAGGGTTGAATTTACAAACTTTTGTACCAGTTGTGGACATGTGCCACCAAAATTAGTTACCTTTGTGCACAGAAAACATTTAAAGCAAAAGGCCTTGAAAATGCGATGTTGTTGCAACTTGAATCAAGGCATGTATCATATATAATTGAAGTGTTATTATTGTGATAGTTTGTTCTCTTGAAATTTCCAGAAATGGGTTGTTATTATCTTCATTATTATTTGTAACACTATTAATTATTAATTATTAAATCAAGAAGAAAAATACAGAACAACTCTTAAGACTACAGAGTAATGATGAAGGATCTAAACAAATTTAAGCTGATTTCTTTGTTCATTGAAAAGCAAATACTGATTTTAAAAGTCTTGTAATGCCATTATCTTTTTTCTGGTCATGAAGGTTTTTTGTGGAACATCTGGTAACAGAATTGTTATAAACATTGGACACCAGGACTTAAAAAAATTAATCATAATCCAGTTTCACAGTGGATTTACACTCAAACATTTCTCCTGATTAAAGCATATTTAAGTCCTGGCTTAATTTTTTAGGATAAACAATTATAAACCATTAAATCCAGAGGCACATACACCATAACTTGAGATGACTAATGTCTACATGAAGTTTTCTTGATTCTGATATTGGCAACAGGGGTCACAGACATAGATGAGGTATTTTCAGTTTGTTCTATATTTTCTTTATGTTTTTCAAGCATTCTTTCTCATGCATGTAATTTTTCAGTCATTATTTAAAAGCAAAATTTATTGTCTAGAATTTAATTAATTGAAATCTTCTTGAAATATTGATTTGCATTTAAAATGAAGATTACACCAGGTTTAAATGATTTTAAGGGCAGCCATATTTTAAAATTTACCTATCCGACCTTCCTAAGCTACATGTCAGATGGTATATTAGAAAATAATTTGTTAGTACTGTATTTCTGTCTTGAGCAAACTGTTTAACTGTTTTTATATGAAACTATTCAGAATAACTTTGTGAAAGAATTATTGTTCTAAACTTTTTTGTCCAAATATAATTATTTTCTTCCTAATTTCACATGATTTGTATTGTAGGTCAGACAGTGATCAAAATGTAAGTCCAATGGTAATGCTCTTATTTAAGATCTGTACATAAGAGTTAAATGAACAAACTTACCTTGGTATCTGCAGGAAGGCCTCCACATGGCTTCTTGAAGAAAAATATATTCAGATCTGAGTGTTTCACACTGTACACTGTTATTTAGTATGACTGTGTGGGTGGGGAATGACTGTGCTTCCTTTGGTCATCATCTATATTCTTATGTTATCCTATACTAGCAGAACAAGTCTATGTCAAAATCAAACAGGTTCAACTCCAGATTCATGCTAAATCCAAGAACTGCAGAATAGAATTGTGTCTTTCTATATAGTCCATACTTAATCTGAAGTCCACATTTGTTTCTTTGAGACTGGCTGTTAGAAGTAAATAGATTGGAATGATTTAGCTTACAGACATCACAGGCTGTTACATGTTGATGCTAATTGTGGATGTGGGTGGGTTATGGATAGACACACTACCAGTACATTATATTGCAGAGTGCAATCAACTTAGGAGGGGGAGGGTAACTTTTGCACTTTGACATTAAAAAAAAGATATATGCAAAGCAACTAAAGTGCATTTGACTAGTGAGCTTATATTAAAAGTTGTAATTCACTTAGAAATTCATGGGGGAGGATAGGATTGGCTAATGTGTCAATCAATTTAAACCCACATTAACTTAATCCAATCATCAATAATCTTGTGGGAGTCAGTTTATGTTTTTTATAAATGTTGAATTCATGTATATTTTTCTTCTTTTATCTATTTTTATTCTCCATATATATCAAATTGAAGTTACAAAAGTCTCAAATCCATCACACCTGTAAAGGATATAAATGTAGATGCCTTAATTAGATAGTTAATGTAAGAGTTGCCTCCCTTGTATATCAGAATTCCAAATTGCAGATCCTTTACACATGTACTTGTCCTTATTTTTATATCATTTTCAAAAAAAGAATTCTTTTTATATGCTGGATGTATCTTTTGAGAGAAACAGACCATATTTGTTTGTCACCAGTTTTCTTCTGCTCTATAACGTTTGAAAAACTTATCTTTAGTGTGTTTTATTACCTAACTACTGTATTAGGTTAAACATGGTTATGAATCTTTTGTCCAGCATATCTTGTCTGTTTTCTGTCAATTGTCTGTCAAAATTTTGTTTTATTCAACTTCTTAATAATCATTTGACCAGTTTCAGCAAATTATGGCAGAAGCATTCTTACACAATATTAGTCTTTCACACTTATACATGTACTAAAGATGTTGATTATCCTTCAAATATGACCACCTTTACTAAAATTTGAAAAGAAAAATTTAAATTACTTCTTTTAAAAAAATCTGCTCACTAGAATTTGACCAAATTTGACAGTATGTTGTCTAAAAGGACTTTTAGTTTTGTTGAATTGTGCCAGTCTATCAAATATGGCTGCCATTGATTAAATGGCAAAAAATTAAATAACTTCTTTTCTCAAAACCACTCCACAGAATTTGACTAAATTTGCCTTTGTATGAATGCCTTTCAGTCTGGTACAGTCTGTTTTAAAATAAAACTGCCATTTTTTAAAATGAACCTTTTTAAATAACTTCTAAAAAAAAAATCACCCAACATAATGTAGCTAAATTTAGCATAATGATTATTTTCACAAAGGTTTTTCGTTTCAATACAAATGGTTCTAATCTGTGGTGAGGTCTGTCGACCAACACCTAAATTAGAAAAGCTTAAAATAACTTTTTGTCAAAATCTGCTCAGCAAAACTTGACCTCCTTCTTTGAAGGCTTTTCAATTTGTGCAGATGGTGCTATTTTCCCATCAGGTATGGACATCATTACTCAAACAGAGGAACCTTTAAAGTAATTCTGAAAAACTGCTCAGTCAAACCACCCTGTAACCTAATACTGAAAAACTGCTCATTTAGACCAGCCTTGAAGCTAATTCTGATAAAATATTCAGTTGAAGAAAATTCTGAAAAATTGCTCATTTAGACCAGCCTTGAAACTAATTCTGATAAAATACTCAGTTGAAGCAAATTCTGAAAAATTGCTCATTTAGACCAGCCTTGAAGCTAATTCTGAAAAACTGTTCAATTGGACCAACCTTTAAGCTAATTATGAAAAACTGCTAAGTAAGCTGGCCTTTAAAATAGTTCTGACAAACTGCTCAGACGATTCTTTAAAATTATTTTGGCAAACTGCTCAATTAGACCAACCTTTAAACTAGTCCTGAAAACTACTTAATTAGACGAACCATTAAAAACTAATCCTGAAAAACTAATTCTGAAAAGCCACTCATTTAGACCAACCATGAAACTTGTTCTGAAAACCCACTTAATTAGACCAACCTTTAAATTAATCCTGAAAAACCACTTAATTAGATCATAAACTTCATAAACTAGCTCTGAGAAACTGCTCAATTAGACCAACCGTTAAACTAGTTCTGAAAAGTCACTCAATTAGACCAACCGTTAAACTAGTTCTGAAAAGTCACTCAATTAGACCAACCGTTAAACTAGTTCTGAAAAGTCACTCAATTAGACCAACCGTTAAACTAGTTCTGAAAAGTCACTCAATTAGACCAACCGTTAAACTAGTTCTGAAAAGTCACTCAATTAGACCAACCGTTAAACTAGTTCTGAAAAGTCACTCAATTAGACCAACCGTTAAACTAGTTCTGAAAAGTCACTCAATTAGACCAACCGTTAAACTAGTTCTGAAAAGTCACTCAATTAGACCAACCGTTAAACTAGTTCTGAAAAGTCACTCAATTAGACCAACTTTTAAATTAAAATCATCTTCATATAAATGCCGTTAATAATTGTACACATGATGCTATCTGCCATTAAATATGGCCAACATTACTAAAAACAGGAAAAAACAAAACAACTCTTCAGAAACTATTGACTGAAAATATGCTGCATGAAGTAGTTACAGTTGATGCTGATCCACTGTAAAATATGGTTACAATTTAATTAAACTAGAAAGTATTTAATTTAAATTTTCTCAAATACTTTTCAACAGAATTTACTAAGTTTAACAGAAGATGTCTTGGAAGGGAGCATTTTACAAATCATGATCTATCTAAATATTGCTGTTGCTAAATAATATAAAATCCTATTAGTAACTTCTTTTAAATGGCCAACCGAATCTGATCAGTGTGTGTGATTTGGATTCTTAACATAGCTTTAACAATTTTTCAGTCATATCTCTACGATGTCTGCAGTGTGGCTGCTTATAGTGATGTCTGGCACTGGGGCATCATGCTGCAAACATGTAGCATGATGTCCCATCCAGTCACATTATCCTAACACCAGGTCGACCAGTCCTAACAATAACCTCTTAATGCTGAGCACCAAGCGAGGCAGCTGTTAGTACCATTTTTAAAAGTCTTTGGTAAGACTTGGCTGAGGATCAAACCCATGACCTCCCGCACATGAGGCGGACACTCTAACCACTAGGCCACCAGAACAGTGGAATCTGATTAAATGTTACAAAAAGAATTTATAAAGAAATTTTGTCCTATCATGAAATTGTGTGTACTTAATGTTAATGCATTATACATAAATGAAAATTTACTCGGATTTTATTTACTGCATATAGTGTTACCTCTGCTGTGGTTTATTTTCTCCGTTAGCTTTTTATGAATACAGAATTTGTTTCACTAAATGGTATATGAGCAAAATGTTTGCAGTGAGAAATCTGATTACCTTGAGTTCTCTGGCATTGGATTTTCAACCACAAACAGTATTTATAGAGTGAACTGTCTTTGTTTTATCACAATATGGGTTTTTCAGAAAGCTAACCATTTTACTGAGGCAATCTTTATCTGTGAAGGTTAAGATAAGTAAAATATAAAATTGCATTCTTTTTCACTATTTTATGCGATAAAATTGTTTTATATATTAGATATTCCAGAATTTACTAAAAACTTTACAGCTTTGCACAATCCCATTATATTTGTAAAAATTAGCCATTGTCATAAATGGAGAGACAAATTAAATTCTATTATACATTACATGATTTGAGTAATGTTTGAGTATTAAATATTATTGTTTTGGCAGCAATGCAGCATATATGTGAATAGTCATTTAGTGTATGTGTGTGTGTGTGTGTGTTATTATTAGCTTGTATTATATATGTTCATAACAGATGTTTAAGGGTAAAATAGTCTCATTATTATTATTGTTATTATTATTATTATTGTTGTTGTTGTAACTGCTGCATTATTCATCATAATTAGTAATATCTGTACTGTTTAAGTTCCAGATGCTGCATCAGTGATGCATAATAGTTCTTAGAGCATAAAATGAACAAGATAAATTGCTTTAGGATGAATTGTTGTAAGCAAGCTATAAATAGCATGCCCATTTATTTGACAGGAAAAATGGTTGGCTTGCTGATTACAGCATGCATAATACATTATTGGATATACCATCCTGAATAAATGGGAGCTGATCCATGCTGGCCCAGGAATAAAACTAAGACCTATGAGTCTAAAGCTCTGCCAGTTGCATCACTGTAGCTCCAAAATATTGGTTCAAAATAATATTCTTATTTGTAAAAGATTAGACACCATCTTTATGCTTCATATTACTGGTACAAAATTTGACATCTTTTTGGTTCACATTAATGATACAAATTGTCATCAGCTTTATGGTTCACATTAATGATACAAATTGTCATCAGCTTTATGGTTCATATTAATGGTACAAAATTTTGACATGATCTTTATGGTTCATATTAATGGCACAAAATTTTGACAGCATCTTTATTGTTCATATTAATGGTACAAAATTTTGACATCTTTATGGTTCACATTAATGGTACAAAATTTTGACATGATCTTTATGGTTCATATTAATGGTACAAAATTTTGACATCTTTATGGTTCACATTAATGGTACAAAATTTTGACATGATCTTTATGGTTCATATTAATGGTACAAAATTTTGACATCTTTATGGTTCATATTAATAGTTCAAAATTTTGACATGATCTTTATGGTTCATATTAATGGCACAAAATTTTGACATCATCTATATGGTTCATATTAAATGGCACTAGTATAATTATAAGTATATCATTATGTATCTGTAATGTAAGGATATTTATTAATGTTAAATGTGATCAAATTAAGCATGATCGTTTTCATATATAGGAGTGTAGCAGCAGTTTTGCATTCATGTAATCAGAAATACATATTGATAAGAAATTCATTTCTTCTGTATTTTTATTGTAAAACTCAAAGGGCCGGTCTGATGGCTTGAAAGTCATCGGACATTGGCACATCGGGGGCTGATCTTGATAGTTGGACATAACCGGGATTCATTGCTGAATTCGGATTGAAAGCTGGATTTTTGTTTCCACAGCCTTGGACAGAGCCTTGGCTGAGTACTGGTGGGGAGCTGCATATTGCTTATGACGATGCTGTTAAATGGCACACACTGCACATGATAATAATAATAATTCAATACTCATATCCCTTGTTATAACACTATAGAAGCCATATAATATACTGCCTTATACTGATTCAGTACTCCTCACTAATGTCCATAGTGTATGCTCATTTTTAGTGAGACTGCCTTATAATGAAGTAAATGATACAATACTCCCTCATTATAACACAAATGGAAGCAATCAAAATTTGTGAAACTGCTTTATAATGAAGCAAATGATACAGTACTCACTCATTTTAACACTATTCATATGAGCCATAGAGTATACCACCTTATAGTGAAACCACCTTATAGTGAAACCACCTTATAATAAAACACATGATACATATGATAGTACTATCAACTTATGAAACAGGATCCCTGACCACCATAAAGAGCTTTATAATGAGGGACTCATTTGTGCAAATATGACTCAAGGTGGGTCATTGGTAAGTATACCGGACACGTAACCAAAATTGTTTAGGTTTGAATTCTACCATTGGATTGATGATTAGCTACTTTGGTGTGTCCTTGGGCAAGACATTTTACCCCAATTGCCTTGGCACTAAATAACCAGCTTGTGTTGCTGTGCCATTAGATCCTCTAGGATACCATGATATGATACACTAGCAGAGAGCCAAACAATATCAAAAAAGGAGTTATGTCAATAATGGACTCTATTTGTTATTAATTACCAAATAACATAACTCATCTTTTCAGTTTCCATTCATCTAATATGAGTTACAGAGATGTTTACAACAAGAGATGATTGTTTAAATCATTCATGAAGATTCAAATGATTGTATATGGAAACTATGTTAATTATAAGTGAACTTGAATTAAAAGTTTATAACGTAAACCATTGAAGTTCAGTTCTCCCTGATTATGACACTATCCATGGAAGACATAGTTTGCTGCCTTATAGTGAGATTGCCTTATAAAAAAGTATATTATACATACAGTACCACCTCATTATAACACTATCCATGGAAGCAATAGAGTATGCTGTTCTTTAGTGAGACTGCTCCGTAAGGAAATATATGATAAAGCACTCCCTCATTATAATTTTCCATGGGAGACAGAGAGTTTACTGCCTTATAGTGAGATTGCCTTACAATGAGTTTAATAATACAGTTCTAGCTCATAATAACACAATCCATAAGAACAGTAAAGTCTACTGCCTTTTAGTGAGACTGCCTTACAATGAAGTACATGATACAATACTCCCTCATTATAGTGCTTCATGTGAGCCATATGGTATACTGCCTTTTTGTGAGACCAAACCAAAAATAAAGTACATTATACATATAATTTTACTATCACTTAATGAAATAATGTCCTTGGCCATCCTCAGTTATATAAGAGTTAATATGTTATATAAAAGGCCTTCTACTGAGGTAGTGCTATATACTGCATACTCCTTATTATATTATTGACATTATAAACAAGGCTGTGTTGTAATGAGGTGTGTTGCAGGTATCACAACAAAAAATAATGTACTTCATGGTGTGAAATCACATGACATTTAGTTTTCATCATGTAAGAAATAAAACAGTGAAATTAAACTGCAATCATGGGACTAAAATAAGGCAATGTAATCTGATCCATGCCAGTCTTATAGGAGGGACTCTTGTAAGTGATTTTAAGGTAAAGGACCAGTTTGGTGGGATTATGTCTTGCATGAGTGAATGTGGTAGTCTGAGGGATTTTATGATCTCTGACCAACTTAATGGGATTCTGTCATGCATGAGTGAATGTAGTCCAATATAATTGGATTCTGTCTTGCATGAGTGAATGTAGAGGTCTGATGGGTTTTAAGGTAATGGGATTGATTGTCTGAGGAGTTTATGTTAAGGGACTAATGTAATAAGATCCTGACTATGGTTATTTTACAACAGGAACTGTATTAGTTTGAGGGGTTTGTTATATTAATAAGATCTCTGACTGACCATTTTGCATGAGGGACTGGAAGTCTGAAGGGACTAATATAATAAGATCCTTGGCTGGATATTTTCATCAAGGACTATTAAACTGATGGATTTATGTGAAGGGACTAAAGCAATAAGCTCTTTGACTTATTTTACAACAGGGACTGGTAGTTGAGAGGTTTATATTAAGGCACAAATGTAATAACATCCTTGACTATGGCAATTTTACATAAGGAACAGTGGTAGTCTGAGAGGTATATATTAAGGCACAAATGTAATAACATCCTTGACTATGGCAATTTTACATAAGGAACTGTGGTGGTCTGAGAGGTATATGTTAAGGAATTAATGTAATAACATCCTTGACTATGGCTATTTTACAACAGGGACTGTTGTATTCTGAGAGGTTTATGTTAAGGGACTAATAAAATAACATCCTTTTGTATAGGTATTTTACATCAAGGACTGGGGTAATCTGATATGTTTATGGTAAGGGACTAATGTAATAAAATTCTTGACTATGGCTATTTTATGAGGGACTGGTATTCTGAGAGGTTTATATTAAAGTACTAATGTAATAATATCTTTGACCATTCAAATTTCACATGATCTATGGTCATTTGAGGGGTTTACCATAAGGGATGAATATTACAAAATACATAAATGTGCCTTTGTTATGATGTGCTGATATTCTGAGGGGTTTATCATAAGAGACTAATGTAATAACATCCTTGACTTTTCCTATGTTACATCAAGGACTGTGGTAGTCTGATGGGTTAATTAAAAGGGACTGAAGGTATATAATCCCTGATCATTTGTATGTTACATGAGTGACAGGTAGTATGATGGGTTTTTTTGATAAGGAACCACTATAAATCATAAATAAAAAAAAATCTTTACATGTTAATTGTTACACATTTATCCCTAACATATTGTATTATATCTATGTCTGTCAATCTACAGGTCAAGGTCATTGTTACTCCAGGAAAACAGTTGGATGTGCACATAATAACTAAAGTCATAGAGAATGCACCTTCACCAAACTTTTTGAATAACTTGTACCTGATGTAGGAAAGAATATCCTTAATGTGGACATTTTACCATC